ACCTCGGTGTGCGAGCGGATGTTAAGCTACCCTAAGAGCTTCTTGCGCGACCACACTCTTCACATTCGTGTCGGCTCCACAATCAGTGGTCCCCGCCCCGTCACCATGGGCGTACCGCAGAGTGGACTATTGTGCCTTTTTCTTTTCAATCTAGCTCTTGCCAAGCTGCCCGACTACATCCCGCGCAACACGGCGTGTGAAGTGCATGTGGCGATTCACGCCGATGACATTGCGCTGTTAGCCTGCTGCCCAGGTCGCCACCGGGCAGGCCTTCTCGAGGGCCTCCAGGTGGCCATCGACGCGGTTGACACAGTCCTTAGAGGTATTCGACTGACGCTCGCTGCTTCCAAGACTGAGGTACTGCTCGTCAAGCCGCGAGTGTCGACACGCTGCTCCACGACTCGGCTCTCACTATGGGGCCTCCCGATTGAGTGAAGCACGATGGTGTGCTACTTGGGGGTGACCATGGACCACCAGCTACGCTGGCGACCGCCCATTAACGATCTGCGGCCGAGAAACCGCAAGGTAGTCGGCACCGCACGCAGTCTCTTCGCGCGAAGTCACGGCTGCGCCCCCGCCCTTGCCCTGCGAGTCTACAACGCAGTCGCATCGGCACGCGTGATTTACATGGCAGCAGTGGCTTCGCTGAGTGCTTGGCAGCTGGCTGACTAGGAGGCGGAGCATCGCAACGCTGTGCGGGAGTACTGCGGAATTCCCCGCAGCTCCCAGGTCGGCCCCACGTTTGCCGAAGCGGCGGTAACACCCATTTTCCTGCGTGTGACCCAGCGCACACTAAATCATGCACTGCCACATCCCTCTGGTCATCACTAAGACCACTGGTGGCATCAAAGCGAAGGCGCGCATGCGCTCGCAGCGATGCAGCAGGATGGCTCCACCCTCCTTCACGAACAACTGAACGGCCGACTGCTTGTTTACGTCGACGGGTCAGTGCTTCGCGACAGCTCCGCGGCCGCCGGCTGCATTGTATCATCGGTCGGCGCGATTTTCAAGTACCGCCGGCCCTCCTTCGCCTGCTCCACTGTGGCGGAACTCGCCGCTATAAACTTTGCAGCCGATTCCCGAAGCGAGCGGGAAACCATCAGTACTGCAACCATCATCTGCGACTCCCGGGTGGCCTTGGCCACGATCTCGCTTGAGGACTAGGGCAGCCTCCTTGTGCAGAGGGTTGCCCAGAAGCTACACGCCGTGCAGCAAATGAACTGCGACCTTTCACTGCGCTGGGTGCCTTCACACATCGAAACACCCGGTTACAAGGTGGCCGACTGTGCCGCGAAGGATGCGCACGACCGCGGCACCGGCGTCACCAACTTCGTGTGCTCTGCGGATGCTGGCCGTCTCCTGACCGCCCGCTACCTACGCGAGCGTCATCCCGACCCTCACGTAGCAGCTGCAAAGCCAACGCGGCAGCTTCTTCTCAAAAGATTACCAAGACGAGACCACGGTTTCCTTCTCCGTCTCCACACCGGAGACTACACCGACGAACGAAAAGATCGGCACTCCGGGCATGGCAGTCCATACTGCATGGACTGCAGCGACCTGGAGACTATGGACCATCTTTTGCTTCCTTGCCCGACTGGTGACGCGAGCAGACAGGTGATGTTCGCAACGTATGAAGCTCTCGGCCTGCCTCGAACAACAACTGAGCACCTCTTGTTCCCAAACAGTGACCGCACGCATATCAAGCGTGCCCTTTTAGCGCCGCTGGACTTTTGTTGACGGAAGCGCACTGCGTGAGCGAATTTAGAGAACTCACGCCCCGTGATCTTGGTAGACGATCTGTGCGTCCCAACTTCCTTTTCAGTCTCTTTTCCTGTTCACTCCTTCCCCTTTTTTCTCTCCACTCATGTCTATTACCCCCATTCCCGTACCCCTGTTATCCTCTGCTGCGGTGTCGCACTTAGGTGCAGAAAGCTGTGGGGTTCACTTTTCTTTTTCAATTTTGGGAACCACTCCCCCCCACCTCAGATTTAAGAATTTACGTAAGCCTACCCCCAATTCCCCTCCCCTCGGCAGTACTACGTATACGTAGTACCGCCGAATGTATATTCATATTCTGGAACAGAAATATATGCCTCTGAATGTTGGCGTCCATAAGTGAGCTCGTAACCTACAATAATGTTGGTGCTTGAGCAGGAGTGAGAAGCTGTTTATTGTGCTGACCTTTGTGAGTCTCCTGCTCCCAAGGGTGTCCCAGCACGTTACGCGAGAGCAGTAACATCTTGAAATTCCGTATGGCTAAATGCAGCAAGGTTCTCTAGTTATATTGTGATTTACTCACTGCAGAAAACTTTCACTCAGCTAAATTATCACTAGGAACATAAATGAATAGTGATAATCTCATGTGGCTCCATTCTCTGTAGAAAAATTTACGATATCCCCAAAGTATGCGTGAAGCGGCGCCTGACGTAACGCATCGGTGGACCGAAGAACGTACAAGTTCGTGAAAGTGATAGACAGAGAGTGCTATTGTTCACTCACAACATTGTCCTAGTATGAGAAAAAAAACTCAAAGATCAAGCGAGAAGGTTTTTTTTTTCAAATTTGCCTTATTTCAGAACCAAGACTAGCTCAAATTGGGCTCTGTTGCCATAATATATAGCCATATAGGTTGATATTATTATTAACAAGTATACATTATTCTTACTAATTACTACAAATAATCTTTAACACACACAATGATTGCATATTTATCCATAACTTCTAATTTATTATTACAGGATTCATGTGGGTCCTTGAAACCCATGAAAAGCATTGAATTTGAAAAGTTTGTTTCCAAGGCCTTAACAATATCTAGAATTTTTGTGAAACCTCAAAAACTCTTGAATTTCCTTCTTTTTCAAAACGTTGTCGCAAATTTCACAGTCCATTATTTGTGATGCCGTAAATATAGCAAGTGGCATATGCCATCTGTTCATCCTAACAGAACTGATGATTGATTTGTGGGGTTTAACGTCCCAAAACCACCATATGATTATGAGAGACGCCGTAGTGGAGGGCTCCGGAAATTTCGACCACCTGGGGTTCTTTAACGTGCGCCCAAATCTGAGCACACGGGCCTACAACATTTCCGCCTCCATCGGAAATGCAGCCGCCGCAGCCGGGAATCGAACCCGCGACCTGCTTCTAACAGAACTGAGAACATCAGTAGTTTCTGCGAAGAACCAGCACTATGCATAATATTTAAATAAGAATACTTGTGGTTTCACGTCCCAAAACCAATAGATGTATATGAAAGACACCGTAGTGGCAAGCTCCGGAAATTACGACCATCCGGTGTTCTCTAACTTGTGCTGACAACACACACTACACAGGCATCCACCATTTCGACTCTATCAAAATGTGACCGCCGCTGCCGGTATTGAACTCGCAACCATCAGGTCAGCAGCCAAGCATCGGAACGACTACCCCACTGCGGCGGATAACACTGTGCATATTTCGAAACTTGCAAATGGCAGGAGCAAAAATGCGAAAAAAATCTTGCATGAAGGAACAGGTTGCCCCTCTTAGTAAAAAAGTGAATGATGAGAAGTGGGCGAAGAGTCCATCCATCCATGTGTGCGTCCATCCGTGCATGTGTCCAATCCTGTTCGAGAATAGAGACGGTGCGCGGGTAACAACGACGAGACACAAGCCAAGGAAAGTTGAGCGCAAGCGTCTTCAACGCGCCCGCCGCTCTTCTTCCTCTGTGCCTCACCAACGATCCGCCACGTACGGCGACTATTCAGGAGATTGAGAGTGGCACTCGTTCTCCGCACACTGAGGCAAAGCGCGCGCAACAGCCGATTGGAGAGTAGCGGCACTTCGGAGAGTAGCGTCAAAGTAACGTCATCTAGGAAATATGACGAGAGATAATCATGTATTTCTTTTGCGTTATCTTTTTCGTCTCTTTTTCTCTTGGTTACGTGTGACGCGTGACAAGGTTAGACTAAAAGGAGCTTCGCCCCAAAAAGAAAACGAAACAAGAAGTTTTTAGTAAAGAATAAGCAGCTACATCAGACGCATATCAATGATAGGCCGAGGCAACTATACTGACGTGCATCATGAAGTCAATCAGCCTCGGGAACACTGTCAACACTAAGCAGCAGGAGATAGCGGATATTTATCTGAAAATTCAGGAAAAACAAAAAGGAGTGGCATAATAAACTGCTTCACAGTTTTCTCTATCTTGTGTTACCATTTTGTGTGATACTGAAAAGATTTATATTTTGTGTCACACAAAGCGATTATCTATGTAACTCTAAAAAACAATACTTCAAAATTGTCTAGAAAGAAAATGTTATCGGAGCCATGTTTTCGATGTTCGCTTTAGCGATGTTACTCTATTTCGATGAGTTTTAGTTATTTCAAGCCTTCATTCTCTCCTGGAGGTTTGTATTTTGGTTTCTAACAGGCAATATGGTCTTCGAAAATTCACACACATGGCCTTTGCACAAATGGCAGTTAAAAGAAAGAACTATATAATCGAGTTGAAAAAATAACAAAAACACGCAAAATGACGAGCTGAGGTGTTTCTGCCGGTGGCTTACTTGTATAAAAGTTTCCCTAGCTCTTATCTGCATAGATTAATGTTCTGTATTCGCTTTTTCAGGCGGTTCAATGATTGCGATAACAGCAGCACCCAAGATTCTTCCGATCACTTCAATGAATCCTCTCTAACACAGAAGCAGAAAGGGTGTCTTCAGGTTGTGCCAGAGTATGGAAACTACTTTTTTCTGTTTTGAGGTAAACGGGAGGCGCTTAAATTTAATGACTAACTCGCACGATGTTGTGTGTAGCTAAGACTAATATTTATCATTCAATATGTGGGCAGTCACAGGGGAAGAAGTGTTGAAATTGTGCACGCTACTCTTTCGTTCCCCGCCAATGCTACTACAGCTACGCCGGCTTACTAGACTGGAAGCCGTCCAGCATCAGTGTTAGTAAATGGCGAAACGGTCTGTACAGAGATACCGTAACGTGTGCTGATCAATGTGTCGCAGGTGACTGCGTCGCTGTCCAAGGGCCAGGCCCGTATCGCCACCAAGCCAGGCAAACAGTTCAACAGGAAGCTGGCCGAGTCCTCTTTTCGCAGCCTTGTCAAGACTCACGACAAGTACGGCTGGGTGACGCCCCCGTTGGCCGACGGCTGAGCTGGAAAAGTGTGCCTCAGCCCGGAGCTCGCCCGTGCACGGGTTTGCAGGTTGGCACTATTGCTAAACCCTGCATTTACCTTTGCGTTTTTTTGTAGCCAATGTCTTAATGCTGGATATAGGACAGTATCTGACGTGCAGCATTGCTTTGCGTGGTTGTAAGTATATTCGTAAATCGAGCAGCGACGTGAGCGTATACACTGAATGCATGCGTTACACCATGGCTAGCTACCTATGCAGTCCGACGTAACGTTAGCAATTGCACCACGATGCTGTTTCCGCGAGACACAGACGGCATTTTGAATAGAAAAAAGTGCTACTTGCACTAAATCGCGCCAGGCTGCAGGGATCACAGCAGTGAGGGTGGCACCTATAGCTGGTCCTAGCTTGGCCTTTTACCATCTCGCCTCCCTTTCACACACCTTGCTATGCTATGTTACGGGTGTGCAATTTTGCCTTTTGAGGCATTGCAAATTTGTTCTATAGGGGCTAGACAATCGAGTTGTGGTATGCTAAGTCCTATGTTTTAATCCCGCCTTCGTAACGTCGTAACGTTTTTATTGACTTATGAATTCGCTCTCCGTATACATTGCTGCCAAATATCCCGCATATGTCGCCAAGTTGCCAGATTATTCCAGCATTTTCACTCCAATAAAATTTCATGTGTCTTGACAACAGTGGATGACAGAGTACGGTGTGGTGGTCATTAATAGCCGATTGAAGCGTACTGAACTCGCGTGACGTTTCGCTCTTTTTGCTCCTTTCAGGTGGATGACGATGGGTGCTACTCAGACATTGCCAACAAGAAGCTGTTTCCATTTTCTTCTTTTTTTAATCCAGTGATCTCTGGCCACTCATCAGGGGTGCCGCGTCTTCACTTTGCATTGTTATAAAAAGTGTGTTTGCTGGTTCTATCTTTGTGCGAAACTGCACAAAAGTGTTGTTTTCTTGTATGCCTGTCTTTGTCTTGAGTAACGGGAGCTTATCACTGGCGTGTTTAGGCATAGCCTGCCACCACCCGTTTGTATGTTCTGGACAGTTGTGGTTGCGCGGCGGCCATCCTTTTGGTTGAGCCAGAGTGTTGAAGACTGCAGAATTGTTGCAGCTTTTGCTCTTCGGTTTCGCTCAACATTTATACTACATCGGCGAAAGCGTTTTACCACCACGAGCGATCGCTCTAGCTCTTTCTTTCTCTTCCGAGGTGTAACACGTAGAAACGCATGTTTCTTTTTTTCCTCGACTATCAGGCATTGTCCACGTCATTGTAGCTTTAAGCATATTGTTTTGTTATACTGAGACTGTGAAAATGTATCACTTAGAACGTACAGACAGGCAATCCAAGTGAGAAAATCAAAACAAAAGAATGAGGACAATAGGGGCTTGTCCGGACATTTATATACAATATATATAAAGTCGAGATGCGAGTATGATCACTGGCAAGCTGTTTACTAAGCGCCAGGAACGAAGAGCCTCAGAACGCCATCATTCGATCGGTGCTTCTGCTTCCTGCATTGTGCTCCGCTACGTGCAGTCGAGACCAGCTATTATTTGGTGTTGGAAAAGTTTGAACTAATCTTTCGGTATGTAAGGGTGAGGTTAAATGTATATGTGTTTGTCAGAACTTCTCTGCTTGGGTGACCTAACGTTATAAACAGAGGCTCTTACAACGAGCCTGGCTCAATTTTTTCCTTAACTGGCGTGACTGCCTGCGTGCTTGGAAGTAATGCGCTGAATGTCACAGGTAACAGTACGACATGCGCGGTACGGCTTCATTCGCACTTTCGAGGAACCCCTTTCAAGCAACCCGGGTGCGTTTTAGCTTTATGCTCGTGCATTCTGAGAAAGTGCGTCAGCTCTGAACAAAAGCGAAAAGAAAGAAAACTGCTTTCCATTCGCATCTGTGCCTAATCATAAGGCCACGTACACATGGTGCTTTTGTAGGTCATGACGAATCGGTGCCTTCGGGCTTGAAGCATAATCGACGACACTAGTACAGCCTTGAAGAAGCGAAAAGGCCAAGCGCACGCCGACGCTCTCATTCATGTGAGGGTCTCGCTTTCTGGTCATCCACTTCCTTGGCTGTCATTCCGCTATCCGTCGTGGTACAATGGCCTATGAGACTGTCGCTGTGACCACAGTCTCCGAAGCTGGGGTGGTGCAGCGAATTTAAAGTTGCCGCGTGGAACGTTGACATCACTCGCGGGCACCAGCATTATCCTTTTTTTTTCTTTTCTGAGGCCTGGATTCCCAAGAGACACTGTTACTCGCTGCTCTCTTGCATTCGTCGCGTGTGAGAGGCGCCATGACGCGACGCATCGTCGTGTGCACGCCGAGTTATTTTCGACAGAAACGCAAGTACTCTCCACGCTTGTTGTTCTGTGCTGTGTACATACTGAGAGAATGATTGACGCACTGAAGTGCTTCACGAATGATAGAATAAAGGCTATGCGTTGAAAGAGTCATTGTGCATTATGCTCTTGACCTGGAGTACGCATCCGCTTGCCCTGTAGTACATTTGTCAGCGTAGAAAAACATTCTTTTTTTATAGTGACGAAGCTGTTCAGGGTTATCTCCTGCTGACAACCTAATGTTATAATTTATTCTTTCAACACACACACACACACATATATATATATATATATATATATATATATATATATATATATATATATATATATATATATATATATATATATATATATATATCGGCTATTTTCACCCCGCCGCGGTGGTCTAGTGGCTAAGGTACTCGGCTCGGCTGCTGACACGCAGGTCGCAGGTTCGATTCCCGGCTGCGGCGGGCGGCTGCATTTCCGATGGAGGCGGAAATGTTGTAGGCCCGTGTACTCAGATTTGGGTGCACGTTAAAGAACCCCAGGTGGTCAAAATTTCCGGAGCCCTCCACTACGGCGTCTCTCATAATCAAATGGTGGTTTTGGGACGTTAAACCCCACAAATCAATCAATGATATATATATATATATATATATAAGCTATGGGATATGGCACAACGGGAGCGTTGTCAACAAGGATGAATATATATTTCTTTCCCAACTGTTTCGGGAGGAGTCCTCCCTTCATCAGGGGATGAGTTATACCGACATGAACTTCCCTCTCGCCTTGGAAGATGTTCCCTCTCGCCTTGAAAGGCGTCCCTCTCGCCTTGAAAGGTGTTTGCGAGAGTGAGAAGGAACTAAAAAAGGAAAGAAAAAACAAAAAAAAAACAAAAAACAAAAAAAAACAAAAAAGGAGGACGAAAAAAAGACGAAAAAGAAAGAAAAGAAGGAAAGTAAAAAAGAGGAAGAACCACTGTCAACACTGAGAACGAAAGCAACTGTCCGTGTACGTCCACATACGGTTCTTATCACGTGCTGTTCAGTTCTCGACGTGTGTCGGGCCACCCAAGATTGTCGCTGCGGTGGCGGCAGGGTCCGTGACGGCGTGCATAAAGAAAGCGGTTCCCCTTAATGTTTCGGTCGGCGTGCGGCGTGCGTAAAGAAAGGTTTTTCCTTTGATGGGTCAGTCAGCTCTTTACCTTCAATCTTCGTCCGTTTCTCTTCAATGGTCATCAAGTGGTAGTCGAGCGTAAACACTTTGTATGTGCATGTGGAAAAAAAAGAAAAAGAAAAAAAACAAGAAAGGACAGTGTACACGTACGAGTCAGTCAGAAAAAAGCATGGTCTCCAGCAATCAATCTTTGTCACCAATTTCCTCCTGGCTTACTTCTCGGAGGCAGTTGAGTTTTCCGGGGTCCTCGTTGATGCCGGCTACTAATGTTCGAAATTTGAAACTAAAATATGCCTCACGCTGTTCGCGCTCGCGTCTGTTTCAGAAACCGGACTGCAAAAGAGTTACGCTGATATTTTCAAAACTGTGGTTTGGCAGGCGCAGATGTCTAGATAAAGGTAGCTTCGGCAGTGAAGTGGCGTGGTACCGGTGATTATTGAACCGCAGGCGAAATAGCGTGTCTGTTTGGCCGATATATTCTTGTCCGCAGATGTTGCATTGTAGCATGTATATTATGTTACTGGAGTCACAATTAGGGCTTTCAGTTATGCAGAATTTGAAATCCGAGAAGTTCGCTTTGCATTCATGTGTTCTGACCATCTGTGGGCATACCTTGCATCGAGCTTTTCCGCAGGGATGGCACCCTGATTGAAATTTGGAGGTGTTTGTCTTTGCTCTGACAAGAATGTCCTTCAGATTTTTATCCCTGCGGTACACCACGTGAGGTGGCTTCGCGAAAATAGAAGTTAGTCGTTTGCTTTGCCTGATTATGTTGAAATGGCGGGAAAGTATGTTGTTGATTCGTGGCGCTGATGAGGAGTAAGTTAGTACAAGGTTCGTTCGGGAAGTCGTTTTAGATACTCTGTTTGGTCCCTTAATTATATCATTCCTGTTCACGTTGCGAGAAGTAGTATGGCATCGTCAATAATGTCTTCCAGATAATTTTGTTTCAATAAGGATTGCTTCAGGTGTTCCGCGTGTCTGTCAAATTCCCGCATATCGGTGCATACTCTTCGGTACCGGTAGGCCTGAGAATATGGAATACCCGTTTTGCAATGCTTTGGGTGGCTGCTGTTGAAATGTAGGTACATTTGACGGTCTGTAGGCTTTTTTAAAGGTTTGTTGACAAGCGGTCATTTTTGACCGTGACGATGACGTCCAAAAAGTTAATGCTAGTTTTGAAATTTTGTGCGTGAATTTTATTGACGGGTGGCACTTGTTTAAATTCTCTATGAAGCGGAAAAGACTTCCCTCATCATAGTTCCATATCATAAAAATATCGTCTAAGTATCTTCTGTAGTAGAAATGTTTCAAGGTACGTTTCTCAATGAATGGGATTTCAAGTGAAGCAATAAAGGTGCTCACGAAGTTTGGGGCCATTTCCGTGCCCATTGCAGTGCCACTGACCTGAAGGCAATGCTTGCCATTGAACTCAAAATGGTTATAATTTAGTACAAGTTCAAGAAGTGTAAACAGTACCTCGCCACTTACACTGGTTGATGAGTCAGATTTTACATATTCAGAAACCATAGCCGCTATTCCGTCATGTTGGGGTATGTTGGTGGACAGTGAGCAGACGTCCATGGTCACCAGAAAACTGCCGCCTTGGATGTCGAGACTTGAAGTTTCGCAGATGAAGTGGTTTGTGTCCTTTAGGTAATAGGGAAAATTTGGGGGGGGGGTGTTTTTTATTAAGGAATTGATTAATTCTGATATATTTTCTATTGATGTGCTGTTACTGGATACTATCGGACGTCCCGGATTGCCTGCCTTGTGTATTTTGGGGAGAAAATAGAATCGACCGGGAACAGAATAGGCCGGTAACATTGCTTTTAACATTTTGCCGGTAATTTTCTCGTCCCGGCGGAGATTGTTTAGGGTTACTTTTATCTCCCTTTCGAATTCGGGAGTCGGGTCCGTTGGAAGTTCTTTGTAGAATTTTGTGTCTGATAGTTGTCGTTCCCCTTCCTTTAAGTAGTCCGACGTGTTTAGAATTACTATGCAGCCCCCTTTATCAGCCGGTTTGACAGTAATTCCGGTGTTTTTTCGTAGTTCATCGAGTGACCTTCGTTCTGACTTTGATATGTTGTTTCGAAATGGCCGATTTTTTTCATACGCTATGATGATATCTTTTTGAACTGCTGATATATACATATCGAGGTGTTTGTCCCTCTGCTCACCTGGACACCATGATTCGTCACCACGAATCAATTTATTCTCGTCCGTACAGTCCTTGCGATCATGAAAGTATTCACGGAGGCGGAGATTACGCGCAAAGTTATTGAGGTCTTGGTACAGTTCAAATTCATTGAATCTACCGAATGATGGACAAAAGGTTAAGCCTATCGGCAAAAGTTGAAGCTGAGCGGGTGGGAGTGTTGTGTTCGACAGATTGAGGACATTTTTTTCATAAGTTTTCGGCTGCTCTTGGCTATCACATGGCATGGGAGTGTCAGCGTCATATTCGAGAGTAAGGATGTTTTGACTAGTATTGCACTGTAGTTTCGAGTTCCCATTTTTATCCTCAAAGATAGGTTGTGGTACGGGTGGTCCCTGGCGTTCTTGTACGGCCTCATTCCTATTTTCCTGTTGCAGAGCAGTGGAGCTACTGCAGTCCCGCTTCAATTTTCTATCTTTTATTATTGAAATTTCGCCTGTCTTTTTTAGTTCATATCTTTCCAGTTCTCTTGACTCATGCTCTCCGAGATTAGATGCCAATTTCTGCGTGGCCTCCGTCACACTGTATTCAGTGGCCTTACGCTCACTATGGTCCACAATGACCCGAGTCAGTTGCAAGGAAGCTTCTAGTAATATTTTTTCCCACTTCCCCCTTTCTGCTTCAATTAGTGTAGACATTGAGGGGTTGCAGGCTAGGCGGAGGCCCTTAGGTGCAATTTCGTGAGATAGATATTTGGTTAGTTGTTCCGCGTGTTTTTCGTATTGCACCCTCTAGTCAATGATTTTTCTAATCGATAGAAATGAGTGGAACCATGCGTGTTTAAGACTGCCCGTACCTTTTGTTTCCCCGTGTCATTTGGAAGCCGCCGCCTTGGTTTTCGCCGCATTCGTCCGCCTGGTGTTGTAAGGCCTTTCTGGTGGGAGTGGCGACGTCGTCACTGCTGGGACCCTGGATGGCTCTTTGTGTCCCTCGGCTCCCGGTTGTTGGGTGGGTTTGGCACTGGAGTTTGCCATGCAAGCCGTTGCCACCGATCTCTGACTCACTGGTGGGACTCACTGGCTCGCTGGCCTCGCTGGTGGTAGTGGCGACATCGTCACTGTTGGTGCCCTGGATGGCTCTGTGTGTCGCTCGGCTCCTTTTGTGGAGGGGGCTTGGCACTGTAGTTGTCTGTGCAAGCGATTGCCGCCGATCTCCATACCACCGACGTCCATCGCAGCTGCACCCTCGTGTGCTGTGCCAGCAGCGCGACTCCCTCGAAGCTTGCATGTAAGCCGTCAGCAGCCAGGAAGTGGCGCAGCGGGAGTGTTGAGAAACCTTGTTCGACGTAATAGACGCCTGCTCCCAACAACCCGTAGTGGCAGAGACGGCGGGCCTCTCTGCTGAATCGTTCAACCTCCATATTAAACCGATTCATTGATCGCCAGTTCGAGTTCCGCCGTCGGTGATTGGGTGCGCGAAGTAGTTGCAGACTAAGATGCAGTGTCTTGATGTCCGGGCGCATCGGCCTCATTCGCTTCAATGCCTCCCTCAACGAATCCAGTGATCTTGAAGAGCTCGTCTTCAGGATGTCCGTGGTGCCCACATGCAGAAACAACGTGTCCACCCGGCAAGGTAGGTACTCAAGTAGCGCCGGAATATCCAAAAACATAAAGCCACCATAGGAGATGAAGCACGGCGTCAATGCGTCGTTCGGGCTGAAGTGCGTGTGGACGTACCGCATGATTGAGTCCCTGATGACGGCACACTTCGTAGGGTAATTTGGATATCTCCGCGA